GAAAAAGGAAAAAGACAAGTCATCACAACCAAATCTTGGGTTCGGGAGTCGGTTACGCAAGGGGAAGGTATGAGCACCCCTCACGTCTGTTGTACTTAATGGGATCCACGCTTGTTGTCTAAATCTATGGGTGAAAAACAAAATATCCACGACTGTTGCTAAAACGGAAAGAACTGACTCGATAGAGCATCGCCGCCCTATGCCTACGTATTCCCTCGTGCAATGGGAAAGTCAGAGTCAACGTAGTTCGGGAAACTACGGGGGGAGGTTGCTCGCCAAGGCATCATCGTCTTGTGCCTACGTATCCTTATCTAGTATGAGAAATCAGAGCAAACGTTTTTCAGGATAACTACGGGAAAACGGGGTGTTCTCGATTACACGGGGGCGAGAGAAAACGTCTGATCAGGATACTTAAGACCTTATATTTCTTAAGTATAAGGTCGAGTTATGTTAACAAAACCTCTGACCTAAGTAATCAGCCAAGTAAATAAGAACCTCTGACTAGGTTATGTTAATAAACCCTCTGACCTAAGTAATTGTCCAGGTAAATAAGAAACTCTAGTTGGGTTATGTTAATAAAACCTCTGACTTAAGTGGCCATCCAAGTAAATAAGAACCTCTGGCCGAATTATTTTAATAAAACCTTTGAATTAACAAAATCGGCCATGAAAATAAGAGTCCCATGCCGGGCTATCAAGCCTATGACCAAATTGAAGGTCTAAAGAGCCTATAATAAATGAATAAATTGGTTAATCAATTAATCAAAAGGTCTAAATTATCAACAAATTAAATTAGTTAAACCATTCAAAAGGAGTAACTCGGTACGCGACAAGGCCATGTTATGAGGCATGCCGCTAAAACATAAGTCGGAATAGTTTAAAGATGATCATAAAGATACTTCAAACCGTAAAAATTTTGGACAAGAACTTAAATCCGGTTGATGTATTAGCTTGATGATTGCCACCTAAATCCTGCATTAGGGTAGCAATTTCCAAGTTGGCATGAATGACATGATCACTCATCAAAGTCCTCATTCTTTTTGGAGAACCCAGTTTTGATCCCCTAGAGGGAGGAACAGAGGCGGTCAGGGGTTCTAATATAATAGGGGTTGCCTTGCCAACATCCTTTTTCTTCCTTTTAAGAGTCCTAGTATGGATAGTGATCTGGCCACTCTTAGAGGCAGACTACTCCCCACGCCTCGCTCTCGCTTCAACCATTAGCTTCTTCTGTTCAAATAGCTCGAGGTTTGTCATATTAGCTAGAAATAAATGAACAAAGTAAAGTTCAAAAAAATAATAATAAGATCACCTAAGAATAATAAAGGGCATATATAAGAATTACCCAAGAATTTAGAAATTTGTTTCAGGTCGTCGGCCATATGTAGCAAGTCCTTAACTTTTACTACTTGGAAGGAATCTAGAGCGGCTAAAGCTTGGATTTCTAAAGCGTTTAATTTGTCATAATCAAAATTGGAAACCAACAATGGGCTATCAGACCAATAAATCAGGAAAGAATAGTTCACATCCAACGCTACATAACTTAAGGGCACCTTTCCCCACTCTTCACTCGAAGGAATTTATCCTTGAAACCTTTATAGTTGTCAGTATAAGCTTGAAGGAAACTCTTCCCTGAAATTCCACTAAGGGAAACCAACCTACTTTTTCCACTCCTTTTAGCTCAAAGAACGAGAAGAACAAACCTAAAGTAGGGGTTATGCTTATTGTCTCACACACAAGTTCAAAAGCTTGAATAAAGCCCCAACCATTTGGGTGTAACTCAGAAAGGGAAATATTTAGGTTTTTAAGGACGTCACATTCAAAATCAGTGATGGGAATACAGATCTTAAAATCCTTGATTACCCCTAAGTAAAAGTAAAAATACTCATCTGACACTTTTTTTGACCGAGTAAAGCAAACTCTCTCTCCAACTATACATGATTCTAACACAACGTCCTCCTTATTCCCGGTATAGAAAATCTAACTATTGGAGCAAAGCTTTGAGATGTAGTTGTCATTGATGACGTTGTAGTCATAACTTAGAACTTGTTTATCAATCAAAGACCACATTGTATCCATCAGAATATCCACGGAACCTGACGATGAAGACTCTGAGTCAGATTTACTAATAGGTGAAGAGATCTCACCATAAACTTCCCTAATAATCTGATCAAACTCCACTTAATTCATATGGCCATCACATTCTCTCATACATTCGTCTTAGAGTTTTCTTCTCTCATGAGCATTAAGGGAAATCGAGAATTCTCTCTAATCATCAAAATTATGTATTATAACCATAACAAAAGAGTAAAAAAGAGAAAAAGAAAGTAAATAGGGCATAAAAAATAATACGTGAGGCTTGAGCTTGAAAAAAAATGATTGACAAAGGGAGCAAAGGAAACTCGCCATCAAGTATTGAAAGAGAGATCACTAGTTAGATAAAAGAACAAAGAAGGAGAGATTCTTTTTATGGAAATAAGTTTACAATGGTCAAGGAGTTGTATCGAACTAAAATCATGATAAAAAGTTAGGGTTCCCATAAAAATCATCATGACAAGGAGAGAAAAAATAATTGTCATTATTGATATTTTTAAAATAAACCATTATCACACGGTAACTTACCAAATAGGTGATCGACTCGAGGAAGAAGGAATTCTGAGATTCGCTTGTCCCAACACTTTAATCCGATTGGACCTCATGATCAAGGGGCTTACGTACATCCCAAAATTCCCAAGATCGAGCTCTTGAGGTCAAGTATGAAGAAGCAAACAAGTTGGGTATCATAAACCTAAGCAAGTTGAATCTCGATCAAGAGGAACATTATTAAATGACATGAATAAGTCAGTGTCGGTCCCATAATGACTCTAGTAAATGAGTATATCTTATTCAATCTCTTGAGGGTGTTAGAATGCGACATGAATAGTCACATACGACGGTTACAAACGTCTCCTTTATTGCATGAGAGTTACAAAAAAGGATGGATGAGACGTTACATGGGAGTTAAAAAAACTGTAGACATTATCAGAGATCACTTTAACATAAGATCTAAAGATGTTTTCCTTAATCACCCTCGGTAGCATTACAAGTAATAAAAGGGACTTCCGGTAGAGAGAGAGGAGACAATTAATACCTCATACAAATAGGACAATTGTGATCTCACCTGACTCGCCTTAGAGAGATTATCCAAATAGTGTTTATTAGGAACAATAGTCATTGCAAAACTCTTGTTTGTTTGTAAGAAGGTTCGTGAGCATAACTTATGAAAAACTAACATCAGATATAGTGGAAAATCTTAACAAGAAATTTACGGGGACAGTAGTAGGTCAAGTGGTAAGGCCGAACTTGTCAAATCTTGATGTAATTCTCTCAACTCTTATCTCTTTATATTTTCTTTATTTACTCTGATTTCTATTTCTCTATTTATTTTGCTGTCTATTCTCTATTTTTTTAACGAAATTATTTTAAAACACTTTTATTTATCAAATAATTTATAATTGAAAATCATTTTTTAAATTCACACAATTCATCCTCTTCTTGTAATTGGATTCACTTTCAAACAAGTTAACACTCTAATATTGTATTCTTCTTAATTTCTCTTCTAAGCCATTTTCATGAGGAATGTGTTTATCATCAAAAATGGAAGAAAAAAAATATAGTTTTATGTGCTTAACATGTATAACTAGTTTTTATGATGACAAAGAGAATCCAAGTAAAATATAAAAAATATCATCAAATGAAGAAGAAAGATTGAATCAAATAAAAAAACGATAAATCTTTTATAAAAAACGATAATCAAATGATAAAGAATATCAAATACGAGCTTAAAGCTTGCCATCTCATTATGTGTTCAACTATCTTATTTTTTTTTAAATCAATATTATAATTTGAGCGTGTTATTTTTAATGTATTAAAGTCATATACGCACTTATTAAACTTATTCTTAAAAAACTTCTTCTATTTTCAAAAGTATTTTGAAAATCACATTGGTTTGGGCCAATTATTTATAAAATTGATCATAATTGATTAGGAAACTTTTGTAATCGATAATGTGGCGAAACTTGGCCTATAATCGATTATGAAACTTATCTCATCGATTATGAGAAAAAAATTGCTTAGTAATGAATTATGAAAGCCTTGTAAACAACTATGCTTCTAATTTAGCAAAACTTTCCATTTTAAAAACATACAAGATTTCCGAAGGAAAAAAAACACTTTTTTCTCTACTCTCACATTACTTCATATTCTCATACTCATTTAAGATATAATTTTAGGTGTCAGAGAGAATTTGTGTAATCACTTCTATACTATTCTAATATGTAAATATAAATTTAGAGATGACTGTTTTTTTAAAACGCTAATAAGTTAAAAGTTGCAAACTGAACTTGAGGTAAAAATTTAATGTAAGATTGATTGAAGGCTAATCATGTATTAAAAGTTTTATGGTAGTGAAAATCTTAGAGTACAATCCATAAAAACTGGAATAGACCTTGTAATTTTAGGTCGAACTAATATAATATTATGGTGTGTTGTTTCTTATTTTCTTATTTGCTTTTCTTTTTTATCATGTCTATTTTACTTGTATTAAATAGGGAAGACACCATTGTAGATGCTTTATCTATTTAAGTACCCGGAAAAAAAAGTGTTGATGAATGTTTTGGCAATTGGTTACTCCTCTTTGTGTTATTATATTTTAAGTACTTCGACGACCATGCTCATAATATTTCAAAATTTTACACCCTTTGTTATACAATTTTCCCCACATAAACCTACTTTTGATTTTCAATACATTATTAATAATAAACCTTCGTACGACCAATTATTAATAATATCCTTTATTATTTTTTACTTGAGTTTTCTATACTATATCTTGACCTTTTTCTCTCCAAACAATTCATTCATCACATCATATATATCCTTTGCTGCTTCTGTCTTCTGTTTCCTAATTTTGTTTTCTTCACTTTATCTATTTCCTCTCTTTTCATCAAGGAATCTTCTTCTTTTTCTATGGCAGTTTTACCTACAAGTTCCTCCAGCTTGGAATTGACCATATCTATCCCAGGTTTTGCTTCTTCACCAATCACTTTTCTCACCACATCATCATCATCTGGTAAGCAGCACACACAGTACAAGTTTCATAATTTCTATGCCTTAGTTTTGTCATGATTTTGATCACGCTCTCTTCCTTTTTATTAGGTCAATAATATAAACTTGGTGTTGTCTTACTACAGGGAAAAAGTTGGACATGAACCAAGTAGCCATAGAAGAAGAATGGATGAGAATAGAAGAGGAAGAAGAAAGCAACGTTAATCCTCGCAAAAAACTCCGTCTAACAAAGGAACAGTCTCGTCTCCTTGAAGAAAGCTTTAGAAAAAACCACACTTTAAACCCAGTATGTTAATCTCCATAATCATTCTCTTTGTGTCATGCATAACCAATATTAACCATGTCCATAAGAGATGCTATATATATTTAATATGCAGAAGCAGAAAGAGTGTTTGGCAATGCAGCTGAAACTCCGACAAAGACAAGTGGAGGTGTGGTTTCAAAACCGTAGGGCCAGGTAAAGGCTAATTCTAGTTTTGCTTCCATTTTCTCATTATGACTGATCGACTTCAAAATATATTGAATCTTGACTCAAAATACAACAATCATAATTGTGATATAGATCTCAGACAAATCAATTTGTGCCCTTAAAATTCGTCTTTCAATATACATTTATTAATATTTATTACAAAAGATTTAGTAATTTGTGTAAGAAGTAAAAAAATTTAATCTATATTGCAATATGTAATTAATCACAGTTGTTTTTGACATTTTGCCATTACAATTTACACAATTAGTGGGACAAGCAACACCTTGTGTTTCAATTATATTTTTGAAAGTGAGGAACTTGGTGATATTTTCAATTTTAAAATAAGCAATTATATATATATATATATATATATATATATATATATATATATATATATATATATATATATATATATATATATATGAAGGTTTAAATTTTAAATTGTGTTGGATTTTAAAATTTATTTTTGTGATCCGTAGATGAAATATTGTTTGAAGTAAATGTTTAAGATTAAATTCTATTATCGGAATGTTATGATGTCAAGATATAATATCGTAAAAGTGAGGATTTGGATCCTCTCTTTTTTTATATATCCTGTCATCTCTTATATTTTTAATCTAAAGGTTTAGAATTTATAATGAATAATTAAATAAAAAAAGTTATTTAATAATGGACAAATTACTTATCCATTTCTCTATCCTATTAAATGACTTTTTTATTTAATTATTCATTATAAATTCTGAACCGTTAAATTAGAAACACGAGAGATGGCAGGATATATAAAAAAGGAGAGGATTCAAATCCTAAAAATAAGTATGAGAAGTGTAATATGTAATCAAGAAATAAATAATAAATAAAATGATATGGAAATTGGTAACATAGTTCGGTGCAAAACTATCTATGTCTGGAGGGCGTTAATTCAAAAAAGGAAATTCATTCTTAATACAAAAGTACAAATTAGTCTGATTTAAACTCTCATAATTCAGAGTCTCTTTTCCTAATAATACTTGTGAATTTTTATTAAGAACTCTGAATATGAGACTCATCCCACCTTCATTCAAACACTCTATCGTGTGTTTGGACAATTACAAGAGTAATGGTAGAACAAAATTACAAACTCAAATTCTCTATTCCTTAATATAGGAATAAGATTTAAGAATAGAGTATGACAAAATAAAACAAGTAGACTCAAAACCAACGTCTAACTTAATTGTATAATGTTTTAGACTTTACAATAGAGAACTTCTCCTTAAATAGCATCAAGGTCAAACTTTAAAGCCCATTAGGGTTATTGTCTTTGAAGACAACTGAACATTCTGCAAGTACAAGTAACCAATCTTCCATTATATTTATTGAAAATATTTGATTGATTAAATATTGATCATATGTAAAATCTTATATTTTAATCTTGCATATAAAGATTTTTTAGAAAAACTTCCTTATTTAAAAAAGCACATAAAGTTTAAACATATTAGATAAATAAGAAAATGAATCTCCAATTAGCGTAAAATTTATTTGGTGTTCAGTTGCTTCTGGGAGAGACAGAATGTCTCAAACTCTAGGAAATTTTATACTCAACATGTTACTTCCTTAATGAAGACAGAGAGATAATATCTTATACAATGTCATGACATCTGAATTCATATGTTCCTTATAAAATAATGCCAAATAAGATGTAATAACAAACTTCCTCTTTCACCAATTTTTAGACAACTACACCGTGTGAGATGTAAGGCACAATCTTAAAGACATTCTTCGCGATTATAAGAATTATTAGAGATCATCAAAACAAAAGCATATTGGGTAAAATCACAAACATAAACCTAAACTTGCAAACAATAACACAACTTCTTTAAAAGATTTAAGAATACCATATGGAAGCAACAGTTCAAGTCTTGCATATGGAAGCAATAGTTCAAGTGTTGCATATTATAATCATCTCCCCCTATTTCCCTCAAAATGAACAAGGGATACAAACACTAGAAATATCCAGCCTAGAATGGACACAAGCATCAGAAAAACTTCAACAACCACGCAAACATTTGGCATATACAACCATAGTAAAAAAAAACTTCAACAACCATCAGAAAAATTATTCGGTCACCGAAGGAGACAAAATTGCACTCCTCTTCTTTATTACTATCACTACCAAATTCTACACTGTCTTCACTTACATCCTTCTCCACATCATTATCTGCATCCTTCTTAGCATCCGTCTCATCATTCTGTCTTCTAGCTTGAGAAGTGAATGCTTTAAACAATTTAGGATTCATAAGCCTAATGAGACCATCAAATATATTTTTACTAGCAGTGGATGAGACAATCAGGTCTTGGAGACCATCACTAGTTCATTTAACACATGCCCTCCTGCAGCTTTTGACATAAGGGATACCTGTAACAAGTTAAATGGTTTTAAATTGCGGATGCTGCGGTTGTGGTCATTGCGAGTGCTGCGATGCGTATTGTGACCGTTGCGGTGTGAATTTTTATAGGGAAGTATTTGAAATACAATATTGAAAAACACTCACCGTTAAGTTTTTCATTACATAAGAGCATCTTTAGTGGGAGTAAACTAAATGGGTAAACTAAGATACTTTTTGTGGGTCCAAAGTGATTTGTAGGATTTAAAAAATTTAAAGTTGATTTGAGTAATTTTTACTTTAATGGTGGTTGTCTATAAGAAACCAAAACTTGACCCCACATGGTATTAAATGGTTAATAAAAATATATTATTTATGTTAAATAATTAATAAAAATCTATTATTTATGTTAAATAATGAGTTAGAGTATGTTGCTTGTGTAGAGCACGTAAACTAGTTTTAGAGCATTCCATATGCACTACTATAATGCAAATTCCTTATTACTAACGTAAGTTATAAAGAATTTTGGTTTAATAACCCTGCATTAAAGTTGTTCTAAGAAAGTAAATTGAGTTTTAGGATTCTAATATTTTGATTTTTGATGAAAATACACGAAGAAACATGATTGAAATTGTCTGATGTGGTTCCAAATATAACCAGAGGTATAATTTTAAAATCACACCGTAATTGCAGTCCGATGCGGTTGCGGAGACTTCCGCATCCCCAATATTGCGGGTGCAATTACAGTTGCAGACCCCAGTTTAAAACCATGATCAGCACTGCCACAATAGAAACAATGATGAGTGATGGAAATGTCTAAAACATGAATGAATAACGTAAATGAAAAAAACAATTGAATATGAAGCAATTTAACCTTTTGAATATGATTTTATAAAGTGGAACGAAGGAAGAATAGGAAACTGGTTCGCATAAAATGAGCAATTAATAATGATGTCGTTCAAGTGTTAATAAACATGACAACATGATCATCTCACAGCAAAAAACACAATGATTGGTGTCCAAATAAAAGTAGACAAGTCGATAATCATAGCACCGTGAATGTTATTTTATTCGCCCTCGTGTACTACACTCACTACACTTATCATCACTACTCAAATAATCAAGTGCACCTTTGACCACTGGATTTGCTCCTTTAGACCACACCATGCATTAAGCATCATGAATTAACTTACCATCATCTTTATCTTTGTCATAGTTTCAAACATGCAATATCCGTTTTTGAAAAGCAACAGAATTAATGCATGTGTTGAATTTTTATACAGGAGCAAGTTGAAGCAGACGGAGATGGAGTGCGAGTACTTGAAGAGGTGGTTTGGATCTCTGACAGAGCAGAACAGGAGGCTTCAAAGAGAAGTTGAGGATCTTAGGGCTATGAAAGTGGGTCCACCCACTGTGTTATCACCTCACTGTTCCGAACCGCTACCAGCTTCAACGTTATCCATGTGTCCTCAATGTGAACGTATCACCACCAACGCCACAGCTGCCGTCGCCGTCGACAAACAGGCTAATGCCGCCGTCACTTTGTCGCCTAAAGTGTTAACACTTTCTACGCAGTCGCGTCAAATGTGAAACACCTTGTTGAGCACGTTTCTTCCTACACGCGATCGTGCACGCACATTATTTAATTAGTCATTGTAAAACAGAACAAGAAAGTGTTGAAGAATTAATATAAGGAATGTTGGGTCATCATTTTGGGATTTAACATAAGGAATATTTTTATATTGAGATTTTTTTATTTATAAACAACACATTTTATGAGAAACGAAATATATGTTTACTGAAAATTTTAAGAAGATAGATAGGACGATTCATAGTATAGTTTTGTTAAAAAACTGAACCGAATTAAAAAGAATCATAATAAAAATCCACTCGAATTGAAACGAACTGTTTTAATTTGTTTAAAATTGAACTGAACCAAATTATTGGTTTGATATACACCTGTATTGAATTATGAACTGAACCAAACCGTTAAAAAATAATTTCTGTGAATTGAACCCATAATATTTTTTTTTATAATTTTTTTAATAATTATTTTAATCTTTTTTATGTTTGCAATTTTTTATAAACATGTTTTTAATATAATTAATTATAGAATTATATAATAAAATGATTGTTAAATATTTATAAATTTTATTTTATTATTAAAATAAAAATTGTTCTTAAAAATATTTTATACATAATTATAATTAAACTATCAAAATTTCTTTTCAATAAAAATTTGAAACTAATCAAGTATACTCTATTATTTAAAAGCAGTTATCGTAATGCAAATTTTAGAATTTATATTTATTATTAAGCATTAATTTTTGTGAAAATAATTTTTATTATATAAATAAACTACAAGTTTATGTTTATAACAGTGAAGCAGTTATATTAAATCAAGGTAGCAAATTATATGCAGTGCAGTTAGAGCATCTTTAGTGGGAGTAAACTAAATGGGTAAACTAAGATACTTTTTGTGGGTCCAAAGTGATTTGTATGATTTGAAAATTTTATAGTTGATTTGAGTAGTTTTTACTTTAATGGTGATTGTCTATAAGGAACTAAAACTTGACCCCACATTTTATATTTTTTATTTAAGTTACTATTAATTTAATTATTTTAATTAAAATGCATATAATTTTTTAAATAAAATTTACCTAAAATAATATTAAAAACTTAAAAATAATATTAAATATATTTTATTATAAAATTAAAAATTATACAAAATTCACAACAATAATATATAAAAAAATTACATTTTCATAGGAATATAAAATAATACATGACAATAAGCAACAAATTATATTTTAACAGAAATATAAAATAAGACAAACTAACTTTCGTTGTTCTCATGACCAAATCTCTCCCAAATATGTTCCACCAAGTCTGCTTGAAGTTGGCGATGATTTTGCCTTTGATGAACATGCGTTATCCTTTCAAACATTGTTGTCAAGTTGGGAATTGGACCAGTAGATACTTCAGTTGTGGAGAAATTATTATCAACATGATCGTAATCAAAATTACCAGCATATGTGTCTCGCTCATCTTCGACAATCATGTTATGCAATATGATACATGCTAACATTATGTGTTTCATTGTATTCACATGCCAAGCACGCGCTGGACCACGTACAATAGCGAATCGGGCTTGGAGCACTCCAAATGCCCGTTCAACATCCTTTCGTGCTGATTCTTGTCGTTGGGCAAATAACTTTCTCTTTTCTCCTTGCGGCATAGGGATGGTCTTGACAAATGTTGCCCACTCAGGATAAATGCCATCCGCTAGGTAGTACCCCATATGATATGTTGTTCGATTCACCGAGTATTGTAATGCAGGAGCTTTTCCATTCAAAACATCATTAAACACATCAGACGTGTTTAACACATTAATGTCGTTGTTAGAACCCGCAGTTCCAAAATATGCATGCCAAATCCACAAGTCTTGAGATGCCACAACTTTAAGCATGATTGTGGGTTTACCATGATCACCTCTAGAAAATTGACCTTTCCATGCGACAGGACAATTTTTCCATTCCCAATGCATACAATCAATTGAACCCAACATACTTGGAAAGCCGCGTGCCGTGTTAATTTGTAGTAGGCGTGAAATGTCTTCATTGTTTGGCCTTCTCATGTATTGAGCACCAAATATTGTGCACACACCTATTACAAACCTGTCTAAGCACTCCAATGCCGTGCTTTCTCCAATTCGAACATAGTCATCCACACTGTCAGCTGGTGATCCATATGCTAGAATACGAAGAGCAGCTGTGCACTTCTGCAATGGTGAAAGACCCATTCTACCCACTGCATCAATCCTTCTTTGAAAGTACTCATCATGATTTCCAAGAGCTTCAACAATGCGAAGGAACACATGTCTTCGCATACGGAACCTTCGTCTGAATTGAGCCTCCGTGTATACAGGATTTTCAGAGAAGTAGTCATTGAACAATCGATGATGCCCTTCTTCACGACTTCGATCTATCACCGTTCTTCTTTTTCTATGCTTACTTGTATTGTTGGCTTGTTGTTGCGCCTCTCGTACCAACCTTATCACATCTTCCTCAGTGTTGTCGTTAAGGCAATCATCTACGACTTCATTCCAGATTTTATCCCATTCAGCATTTGGATCCATGGAAGATATGATGAAACTAATATAATGGGAAAACTGTGAGGTATATATATGCTAGTTTTTTTATAACGGCTAGTTTACAACGGCTAGTTTTATAACGGCTAGTTTACAGCGGCTAGTTTTATAACAGCTAGTTTACAACGGCTAGTTTTTTATAACGGCTAGTTTTACAACGGCTAATTTTTTTATAACGGCTAATTTTTTTTATAACGGCTAGTTTTGCATAGCTAATTTGAAACATAGATACAAAATTAAAATAACAATCATTTAAAACAAAATTACAATAATATGAAATGCATATTCAAACCTAAACAATAATAATAATAATAATAATAATAATAATAATAATAATAATAATAATAATAATAATAATAATAATACACCTAGCTTCTCTTGAAGTACTTCTCCTTGATACTTTGACAAATTTCTTCATGCTCTCGGCGTTGCTCATCATTCATTGTTGATTTGTCCTTCATGAGAATTTCATACAACACGGGTATGCTCTCTGCCAACTTTGCTTCAGCTATTTTACCATAGATAGCTAATTTCTTTTCTGAGGCCCTTTCTATGTCAGTCAAATCCACTATGGGTGTTATAGATGGAGATGCTTTTCCCTTGCCCTTCCTTTTTGCCGCCTTTTGTCCTGCTGGGCGGTCGGTCTGAGTTGCATTGTTGTATTCTGAATAATCTATGGGATTTTCTGGATTAGATGACGATGAATATGTCCCGGTAGAGGATATCTTTGATCTCTTTGAAGAGTTGTCCATTTCTTGCCCCTTCCATTTAGGTTCATCCTTCAACAACCTCCACGCATGCTCTATTGTGAAACGTTGATGATGCACTTGGAAAAAAATTTTACGTGCCTCTTCCATGACATCTGTCTCAGACTGTCCACTTTTCTTGTTAGCAACAGCTAGTTTGTAGTTTCCGCAAAACCATTGACAATGTTTATTCAATAGATGCCATCGAGATTTGAGTGTAGACCACTCTCTCGCTATAAGTGATCCACGATAGTTGTTATAGCCATCTTTGATTCTACCCCAAAAACTATCTGCTTTTTGGTCAACTCCGACTATTGAATCTTTGGAAATGTTAAGCCATGTCTGAATAAGCAATTTATCTTCTTCTTCTATGAACCTGAGACGCTGTTTTTTTTGGGTTGAACGTTCTCCTTCCTCCGTAAAAGTAATATTTTCTAGACCATCCTGAGTGGAATTGCCTGATTCTGATTCAATGTTAGGAGACTCGGTTGGTGGTGGTTGAAACATAAATGGTCGGGTATATTGAGAATTGTTGCTGGTAGAGAAGGGTGGTGATTGAAACATAAAAGGTTGAAAATTTTGAGAACTGTCACCGGTGGGAGTTTGTAAATAATTATAATAAGGATTCGATTGGTTGGGATCCATTTGATAAATAAATAAGATTGGAAATTGAAAGAAAAAAAATTTAGAAGTAAAACTGTGTGTAAAAAAAATTAAAGTTTCTATAGAATTTATAAAAGATAAAAAATGGTAATATGACCGTTACTATTTTCAAATATCATACCGTTACTTTAATGCTGTTGGAATATTTGGAATATTTTATTAATATTAAATAATATTATAATAGGTTTCACATCAATAGTTAACGTTAACTATATAGATAACGGGAACTAAATTTTAGTTCATTTGGATGCCACGTCAGCTCTACTATAATGCAAATTCCTTATTACTAACGTAAGCTATAAAGAATTTTGGTTTAACAAACCTGCGTTAAAGTTGCTCTTATATATTAATGCAGTTACGTTAATATCACTAATACTATACCATTAACATACCACTAATATGGTTAATAACTGCGGTTCGAGTTCTTTTGGATTTCGGTTAATTGTAATTTGGTTTAGTTATTGAACTGTTTTATAAATTATAATTCGGTTCAATAATTTAAAAGAATGGTTCAGTTATTTAACAACGGTTTAGTTTAGTTTTATGGTTCGGTATAGTTTTATAGTTCTTTCATTTATAAATTATTTAATCTTCATTTTTTTAATTAATGGGAGATTTTTTTATAATTGTTTCTAAAACACTTTCAACTCATACTTATTTTTGTCAATACTTTCTATCAAGTGTGAGTCCATCAACAATGTTTCTACTCAAACAGAAACTCTTTCATCCACATTTATTTTGTATCGTCATTGACACTTCTTCAACAGGACATGTCACCTAACCACCACCATGTGAGAAGGACTTTCGATACAAGTGAGTCAGTCCTTCACTCGAACCAACAGTTTTGAATACCACTATTGAGTCGTCATTTTTAGGGTTCAACATAAGGGAACATTCTTACATTTTGATATTTTTATTTTAACAACACACTTTGTGAGAGGCACATCACATATTCACGCAAAACCTTAAGGTGATAAGTGCGACAGTTGGCGTCTTTGCTGGGGACATTGCTCCAATCTAGAGAGAGTCGA